AGACAGACACTCTATTTCCTTAATCCAGAGTGAATTAGTACATATTGTGATTTTTGTTATTTCAAGTATGAATTGTGCATACCTTTATATACCTTCTCCCATGCATGACAAATCTCACACTGCATATGAGTGCTGTGTGCATGTACACATTTCTAGAAAAGAGGCCTTACCTCCTCATAGTGGGGTGTCTGGGTACCTGGTCTTCTGAGAGAGTAAAATTGAATGTGCAGTTTCCAGAGTCTCTATCATGCTCTGGCGTTACTTGTGGACAGAGTCCTCGTGCCAGGCTGGCTGTTCACTGCCCACAACCCCTCTGCTATAAGAGAACATGGTCCACCTGAGGGCCCTCTGTCCAGGTGGCTCACCTGACCATCTTAAGGCTAAAGTATGGATGCACGGAATCGTCTTGACTGTGAGAAGTCCCACTGTCCTCCCAGGAGACTAAGTTCTCTTTCCTGGAACACCTCCCTCTGTTCCCATTTCCCCTTCCCTTATTCTAATGTGTACTTTGCCTCCCCAGCTATTATCACAGAGCCCAAAAGCAGCAGATGCAAGTCACATTGCAGCTCCCAGCCTGGGTCCCAGCCTGGAGCCCAGCCTGCCACTCTGCTGGCCACTCCTGTTCTCTCCCTGCCAGCAACACCTCTATTCCTGCCTGAGCTGGCTTTCTAGAGGGGCTGCAGAGCTCATCAGGCCTTGGGTTGCCAAAAGAATGTGTTTGCTCACCAATCCACAGAAGGACTGCAGGGTTGATTGTGAATGAGAGGGGAGCTGTTAGAGAGTGGGGAGAGAATGAGAGAGAGAGGACTCCTGTGTGAAAGGTGTTTCTGACAGCTGCATAGTAGAGCTGAAGCTCCTGAATGGCGAGGGGAGAAGCCTGAAAGCCATCTGGAGGCCCTCACAGTAATCCAGGACAGAGGGGAGGTGACCAAGAGCCAACAGTTGCAGCAGGAGCGGATGTAGGAGAGTGGAATCAGGGCTGCCTGCAGGTTTGTCCCAAGGACCTAGAAGGAAGAAGCTGTCATCATGCGGAATGCAGGGACAATGGAAGAGCAGACAGGCGTGTAGGCCAGGCTGGGGAAGCCAAGGACTCTGTCAGACATGGTGAGTGTCAGGTGTTCAGATCACCCATGCACAAGTGTCCAGTCTATGTGAAATTTAGGGGAGAGGTCCAGGCAGAGGATGTCAGTGTGAAGGTCACCACTGGGTAGACGCTCTGTGATGCCAACACTTGGAGCAGGCAATTATGTTAGGAACTCAGCAGAGACGGGTCCAAGCACGGGCTTTAGCTGAGTGGGAGGAAAGACCCATAACTCCCATGGGGCTTTGGAGGGATATGTTCTGAGGGAGATTGCTGCTCCTGGGGGCAGGGGTCATCCCTGGAGGGGACTTTTATGTTGTTCACAAATGCAACACAACTTATGCCAACAGCTAAATGCAGCAGAGTTGGTGAGCTGCAATGAAACACAGATTAAAAAAGAAATAAGAAAAGAAGAAAAAGGAGAGAGGGAAGGAGGGAGGGATGGAATGGGGAGAAAAAGAGGGAAGGGGCAACTATTCAAACAAACTGTTCTTCTTTTCTGAGTTTCCTCATGAATGCAATGGAAGGGAGGCCTCTGAGTGTATCCTCAAGACCCAGCCCCTGGATTCCAAATGCTACCCCCTCCCAGCCTTTGTGCCTGCAAGTTGATGGCCAGAGCTGAGCTGACAGCCCTAGCTGTCAACCTGCATCCCATGGCCTGTGTCATCAAGGGGCATGGTAAGTGGAAGTGATGCCTTCCCAGAGATCACATTAGCCCTGATAATGCTCCAGCCTCCTGCCCACTGCTTGCCCTCAGGCTGGCCAGAGGGGCAGGATCAGGACATCGAGACAAGACACATGGCCTCATGGTTTTTGGAGCCATGAGCAAAGAGTCTGGGCTGGAAATGGTGGGAGACGCCTGCCCCTTCAGCCCAGCCCCAGGCCTGTGGGATCCCAGAGAAGGAACGTACCCACAGGGCCTGCTGACTAGCTGGTTGCAGTGGGTGAAATGCCCCCCTTTGCACCTGAAACCAGCACTTCTTGCTGGCCTTGCTCACATCCCTGATCACTCCTGTTCCTGTCAGGGCAGAGGTGCCATCTGGCAGTCTGGCGAGGTAGCATCCGGGACTTAGCTGGAAAGCTCTCTCTGGCTGTAGGGGCAGGCTCAGCCGGCTCATCGGGCTGGTGGGTAGTTCAGGGAAGTTAATGCACTGAGTGCAGGCTCCAAGGATGATCATGCCAACTTCTCGAGACAACACGGTGGTGTGCCCTTTTCAGTCATCCCCAAGGTCCCAGTGGAATTGCATGCCAGTGGTCCACCCCAGCACCTGAGCCTAATCTCCTCTCTGCTGCTTCTTTCCCTTTCCTCTCTCTCTCCCCTACTCCCTGTCAGGGACTGCCTCCTGGAGAAACTCTTGGCATCTGAGTCTTTTTTCAGGTTTGGCTTCTGGAGGAATCCAGCGTAACATAACCCCAACCCAAGACACCAAACCAACCAAAACCCAAGATTTCCCCTAATACTGTTCTATAACCTTCCTGGAGCAGCAGCCATGTAGAAGAATGTGCAGTCTTATCCTAGTTTCAGGAAGTCTTACCCAGACACTGAACTAGACAAACATGCAAAGCAGAGAGAGAAAAAAAGAGAGAGACACATTTGACCGCATTATGGGAGGAGGTTAGCAGGGAGAGCTTCCCAGTGGAGATGTTCTTGGAGCTTTTGGAAGGTGAACAGAAGTTCTTCATGTAGGCAAAGAAAGAGGGAATCGAAGTGTGTGAAAAAGCACAGAATGTTCAGGGAGCTACTAGCAGTTCCCACGCTGCTTACAAAGTAAGGGATATGTGAGAGGTGGTAGGTTTGTAAGGAAGGTGAAGAGAGTGGTAATCGTGTGGTTAGACAGGCAGAATCTTGCTTGTACTGCTGAAGGTGTTTTGATATTATCTTGGAAAGCCTGGAGGATTTCTAAAGTATGGGTTATCTTTTTCAGATTGCATAAGCATCTGATGCTCATTGCAGAAAAGCTGGCATATACTGAGAAGTACAAAGAAGAAAAGAAAATGACCTCCAAACCAAGGTTAACTAAATAGCATCCACATATTGGTGTGTCTCAGCAGTCTAGGCAGGAAAGTGGGCTGGTCCGACTTGAGTTTTGCTTTCATGTAAGCACTTTTAACACTATTTCTTGGAGATGCAGAGAGACACAGAACAGATGCACAGAGAGGGGGCCCCCTCCTTGCCCCCCCCCCCCCGCCACTGGCTGACTCTCCCAAAGACTGCAACCGTTGGGACCGGGTCAGGTGGAAGCTTGTAGCTTATTTTTTTTTTCAAGCAAGTGGCAAGCACACAATTATTTGCAGTCTGTGCTGGTGGAAGGCTAGTCAAGAGCTGGAGCCTAGAGTGGACCGCAGGACTTCTGATGCAGGATGCAGGCCTCTTACTGCTGGGCCAAAAGATTGCCCAGACCTGAGTGTTAGAATGAACTCCAGCGGGGCTGACTGTGAGACTGGGAGCATACTGGATATGTGTGGCCAGTTAAGGAGTGTGACAAGCAGATGTGAGTGGACTGCATGGGGAAGGCAGGGCCTTCACTGGATGCTCAGGAGATGGGATCCTCAGGACTTGGTGGCCAGCCAGAGGGAATGTGAGTAGAGGGAAAGAGGACCTGACTGCCATACAGAATCTGGGTGGCTTCTTATTTCTGTAGAAGGGAAGAGGCTGAGAGCCAGTTTACCTGAGTTTTCATTTCAGCTCTGTGACTCCCAACCCGTCTTCCTTGAATCCTTGGAGTCATGTTTGCTTCTCTGAAAGGCAGAAAAAGGGTAGGATTCCTTCTTCCTCACAGGCATGTCCTTAGGGTGCGTAGCTCAAAGGGCTATGCACTCTTGATGGGGGGATGAGCATGCACTCATGCTCAGGTCCTAGAGCCTCTGCCCCTTGCTTTTCCTGACTTTCTTCCTCCTGTCATGAACTGAGAGAACACCAGGACAGACTCCAGGCTCTCCAAGCTCCCTTTATTTCCTCTCTGCCTCCTGCCCTGAGGACATTTGTCAGATAAGCCCCCCACACCATGCAACTACTCTCAGCACCCCATGTCCCCTCTTCTTTCACTCCTCCATTCTCACACTTATGCCAGCAGGTGTCCAGGGCTGTGAACCCCAGGAGAGATATAGGTAGACAGGGTCTCTGGCTTCGTGGAACTCAACTGTCCCTCAAAGGGAGGCAGAAAATCAAATACACTAATGAGAGAAAGGCACTGATGAACAAACGGGCAAGAATGAAGGCATTACATCATAATGATGTGCCAGAGAAGAAAATATCTGGGACTTAAGCTTGAACCACTCAAACAGAGGCTCCAGGAAGTGCAAATGTCCTGGGATAGATTGGGGTTGGGAAGGCTTAAAGAAAGGAAACCTGCTGTTGATTGGGCTTGCCTGATTCCTTCCCACCTCACTCTGAGACCTGCTGCATCCTTATCCTTACTTGGGAATTCTGCTTCATCCAATCCCCACACTGCTGCTGTCATGGTCATGCTGCATTGTGGTCAGACTCCACACATATGGGACTGGGAGCAGGTGAAGTGCAGAATGACCCCCGCCTCCCCTCTAGTCAATACTGCTCAACATCTAATGGCTGAATGAGTGACTTCGTCAGCAAGTGCATCAGGGAATGACTACCATCCCCAGGGGGCTTTCCCAAATTCTCAACTTTCTCAAGCTGTAGTCTGCTTCCTCCCATTCCCTATGGCTCTTTGCTTGTCTCCCATAGCATCACAATGTCACCCATGACTTCATTTGTTTATTTACTATATTTCCTGTTTTCTTCAACTCTCACCTGCCAGATTGTAAACACCATCAAGTGGGGGGAATCCCTGGGTATGATGTCCCCTAATGTCACCCAAGTGTCTACCCTGGCTCACAGCAGCATATGGAAGAATGAAGCCATGAGGAAATGAATGCATGAGTAAATGAATGAAAGAAGGATCCTTCTCAGAATTACAGCCCGGAGGTCACAGCCTGGGAGGAGACTTTGGCGTAAGTAGCCAGCGAACCAAACTGCTCAGTGACCTGTAGCCTTGGGCACTGAGTAGGATGCACTGGGCTGATGGAGAAGCTCTGACCAGGTAGTTTCACGTGCCACAGCGCAGGGTGTCAGCAGGCACTACCTTCTCCTCTCCAGTGCTTTCCCTGGACTCCTCTTTGCCTCCTCTTCGGACCTCGGTGTTGGGGAGTGTGACGCTCTCCCGGCAGCAGAAGCTTGGAGCCTCTGCAACTGGGAGTGGAACTCAGGCCAGGAGAGGTAACAAGGGAGTGCGCGCCCGGCTCCCGCCAGCCACCCCTGAGTGGCTCCCCCGCCCTTGACAGTCCCCACCGACCATGCTGTCAGTCTCCATTAGCGCTAACAGCCTCCAGACTGGGCCGCCCGAGCGTTGGGTTAATGCAATCGGCGCGTTACCTGGGGCGCAGGCTACATTACCAGCCTGGCCCTTGTCCGGCGCGGCCACAGCCAGCCAGCCAGCCTGAGCCCCGCCAAACGGCCCGCGCCTGCAGTGCTCCCCCGGCCGCGCCCGAGCGCCACGCGGCAGTACTCTGCCCGCTCCCGGGAGCCGGCCCAGTCGCGGCCCTTCTGGGGTTGGCAGGGCGCACACACCCGGGATTCCCTGGCTGCCAGACATGTGAGTGCGCTCTGTGCGCGGGACCGGGGTGGGTGTGCCGGGGTGGCCCCAGTCGAGCTGTACGAACTTTAGAGTCCCGGAGTTTAAAATGTACAAGTGTCGCGTGTCCGCCGAGGCTCCCTCCCGGGGCTACTGGAGGTGACTGAGCCCTGATCTGGAGAAGGGGGCGGTCGGGGCGGTTTGGAAACCCGTTATGATCTGGGAAAACTTCACCCGCTGTGGGACCGAAGATTGGGTTTTGAGGGCGGGAGAGCGCGGACGAGCCAGAGAAAGCTCTGCAGGGGTGATGGTGGGGAAAAAGGCACGGAGGGTTCCATCTCTGAGTCCCACGCGGGTTCGGTGCGCAACAGCCGCTTGTTTCCAAAAATTTCCAACAGACGCGCGCGTCTTTCTGGTAACCCTAAGTACACCCAGCTGAGCACGTCCTGACCCAGGCGTCCTTGGCACTCCGGGAGGTCTGGGAACGCTCCTGCAGGCAAGAACGGCCCAGGTGACCACATCTGTTCCTTTTGCCCAAGCAGAGTATCAGCGCCGCCCCAGTACCATTGAAGTCCCTTCCGCCAGCCGCACCCATGCTTCTGGCGCGAATGAACTCGCAGGTGCAGCCAGAGAACAGCGGGGCGGACCCGGGACCCCAGCATCCCCTGAAGGGGTGCAGAGCTGCGGATGTGGTAGTGGTGAAGGACAGTAACGGCGTTCAGTGCCTCCTGGCGCCCAGCGGCGGCGACTCGCAGCCCAGGGAGACATGGGGCAAGAAGATGGACTTCCTGCTGTCGGTGGTGGGCTTCGCTGTGGACCTGGCCAACGTCTGGCGCTTCCCCTACCTCTGCTATAAGAACGGCGGTGGTGAGCACGCGCTTGCTGGGGGTTGGCCATGGGAACCTACCTGTGGGTAGCGGTGACCAGGCAAGGAGCTGGGACAGACACGGAAGGGGAATAAGGAGATTTTCAGGCAAGGCTAGTGGGCAGAGAAGGGACGGGAAGGGGTTTCAGGAAAAAGGGTGGAAGTCTGCAAGTGGAAGAGGGAAATTAAGGTATGATGGCATGACCTTGGACAGCGACAGGTGCTGGTGACAGAACAGAATCTGGGGTTCTCTGTTGGGCGAGAAATCTTTTCCTTTAGCTGGAATCTTCAGGAGATTCAGGGAGCTCTTGAAGATTCCAGAAGTGTACCAATGTGACAACCACAAGCAAGGTGACCCTAAACCCAGCATGCTGAGCCTTGGGGGCAGGAAGCCCTGGGCAAGAAGGAAGAAAGGATTAAGATTATCTGGGGGGAAGAGCTTGCATTCTTGGGGTGGGGACTCTGTGACAGAAGCATGCTGACAGAAGCCAGGGTCAGAGATGACACAGTTCCTAGATTGGCAATTGTTTTCACTCACAGTTTCCATGTGCCCAGACGAGGTGGGATATGGCCAGCTGGGATGTGGCACCAGGTGTCCTGCACTGGCTTGGTCCTTGAGGCAGGCAGCCTGGGTTATTGGGGTGATGCTACTTCCTCCTTAGGTCCCACTCAACATCGTAGGGAGCAGTGGGAGAGGGCCTGGAGGGCTTGGCAGTGGAGTAGCCATACCCTCGCCTTTTTTTTTTTTTTACTTCTGGGTGGTCAGATTACCACCTGCCCTGGAAGGAGAGCCTAGAACTCACCTACAACCCAAGTCAGAAAGGGATAAGGTGGGAACCTGGGGGAAGCAGTCTGGGGTCAGGGTGGCATCCTAAGACCCCCACCTAATTGCTGAGGTCCTTTGCTCTTGGAATGCTCAAGTCAACTCCAGTCCTGCTCCTGTCATTTGCTGCCCTGATCTCAGGTAAAAACAAACAAACAAAAAAACCTCTCAATGGAGAAATGTCTCTGTTCTGGAGACCGCTGTCTACCGGGTGCTCTGCCTGAGAGGAGTTCCAGCTCAGACCTTGAGGGCAGGTCAGAGGAAAGAAGGGTACGATTCACATTTGGGTGAGGGGAAAGTGCATGACCCTGTTCCGTGAGATCTTGGACTTACAGCTCGCTGCTCCTGTATGCATTCTAGACACTTGCTGGGGTGTAGGCCATGCTCGGGGAGTGGTAATCTCAGGGAGCAGGTGGCTCTGAGCAGAGAATACTCTGTCGGGAAGTGTTAATTTCCCTCTATCTTGCTGTCACTCTGAAACCGAACTCGAATGTGTCTATGATATCCTTGGGGGTATCTTGAGATAAGACTCTCAAAGCGAGATCCTCTGAGATGAGACATCCAGGGCAACAGTCCCAAGCATCAGGAATGTCTGAGTTGCCAGCCCTAATCCCAGATCCCTGATGTCAGGAGGCACTCACCGGTCTGCAGGCTCAGCACTCGAGCCTGGTCCTAGGATGACCATGGGCAGAGAGAGGGAGGAAGATAGGAAACATAATCCAGAGGTGAGACTTCTCTGCCTTTGGCCACCATGGCATTGCAAGGGTTTGTACCCAGCATTGAGTATTGTGACCTTTTGAACCCAAGCAGGGAGAAGAGGTAGGTTTTTCTGTATTTTTAGCAGGCAGATGATAAATGAATGACAGACTGAGACTTCAGGACAACGCCATCCTTGCTTGTCCTCACTGACCATCTAAAACAGCTTATCCTTAGACAGTGGAAGGCTCTGTCATCAATCAGTACTATTTGTCTGGGTCCTCTTGGTGTGAGGCCCGATGCTCAGCTCTGCAGAGATCATCTGGATGTATGAACCAACACTTGTGACTGCTGGCAGCTTTAATCACTCAAGGTCTTCATTGCCATGCTGAAACAAGTCCTTTCCATTACTGTCTGTATTTGTTAAACTAGAAGCATGTGGAAGGCCAGTCTGGCAGTCTCTTTGCTGGATATCATCCAGGGCCATCATCCACAAGGAGCTCACTTGCCCACTATGCCACCCCAATCCCATGCAGATAACACCCGCTGTATGCCTTGCGGTAAACCTGAAGTCAGTCTATCACAGGTTCTGACTTCTAAGGGAAGTTGACCAGGAGCTGGCTTTTCTAGGCTTGCTTGCCCTGAGCACAGCATATCTTGGGTTTTCTGTGATTTATACCTTTACAGGTCCATTTCTCCCGAACAGGTTGGGGACACACTAAGGGTAGACACTGTGACTTTTTATTCCCATACTTCTAATGCCCAAGATAAGACCTAGATCCTTGTAATGTGGTAGAAGGTGCCCCAAAATCCGTTGAAGGAATAAATTAATGACATGGGCCAAGTTCCCATTATCCACTACTGAAACCAGAACCTTTCAATAATATCGAACAAAGCTAGGCAAATGAGCTGGGAGGAACTGGTGGCCTAGCTCTCAGCATCTCCAGAATCCTGGGTTCATTTCCAGTTGCATGACATTGGGCAACCCTCCCAACCTCAGTTTCCTTACCTGCCAAATGAAAATAATGATGCTTAGCTGAGAGCATGGTTGTGGGCACCAAGTGCAGAGATAGAGTGCCATGAAGAGCCTAGCATGGAGGTGGGATGGCTACTGTTTTTATTAGCGCTGCTGTGATGATGATGGGATGGATGGGAGACAGGATGGGCACTCTGAAGGTCTGATAAGAAGATGATTAGGGAAGACTCAGAGGATATGGGCTGGTATTGACGCTCATTGCTCTGGACACTGACAGAGAGTGCCCAGAGAGGATGCTGCCAAACTGTAGGAAAAGAGGAGCTGTCGCAGCTGTGACCTGGTCTGTGCATGGAGCCATCTCAGATAACAGGAGTGAGGCTGGCTCCAGGGCAAGCTGGGGAAGATAAGGATGTAGACACAATGCTGAGCTGGACTGCAGGGGCCTTGAATGCCAGGCTATGCTGGGGTGGGGGGTGGAGGGTGGATGTTGCGCTGAATTTCCATTTCTAGTTAAGATGCACAGTTGAGGTTGGGGAGCAAGGATGTTCCTCATTTTTACAGCTCCTTTTGCTGAAGTCCCCTTCAACTCTTAAGGGGACTGTCTCCCCTGGGCTTTGTTTCTGCTGAAATTTCCTGGCTGCTCCTGTGAAGAATTCTCACCTAGTGATTCGGAAGCCAGCTCAAAGGAGGGTAAGCAGGCAGGCAGGTGGTATTCAAGTTTAACTCACAGTTCTGCCACACACTGTGTGACCTTAGGCATTGCACAACCCTCTCTGAGTTTCAAGTTCTGCATGACAAACTGGACATGAACTCAGGTGAGACCAAGATCCATCCCTGACCAGTGCCTTGGTTCAACTTGCCCCCAAACCAGGACTCATTTTATTTAATAACAGCTGCAGGTGTGTGTACTCTTTTTTTTGCCAGGATTTACATTGTCACATCTCTCAGTCCAGCTTTTCTTTCTGGCCCAGACTGGAGGACGGTTTGAAATGATCAAGATGCCAGTAGTTTAGGCCCCTGGCCTGTGTGAGTGACTTACCAGGAGAGATCAGCCTGTCTGAACAGCATCCCAAAGGCCAGCCGCTGGGAGGTGGTGAGAAAGGAAATCACACTTGCAAATCCCAGGCCTTCCCAAACAACTGGCCTCAGTAGGGAGGAAGTCTCAGGCAGTGGGGCTGTGTCTAGGGTGCTACATGTCCCTTCCACACCTGTGATCTTGGGCTGTGCTGAGCTCCAGGGAGACATGGGCCGGGCTGACTGGCAACCCACATCTGTCACCCTACCTTGGGGAGAGGACACTGTAGGCTCTCTTTTGCATGTGGTTGCTTCTGTTTGAGCTCTGTCCCCCTGCCTGCTCTGCCCTCTGTCTCATGGGCATTTTAGGACTTTGAATCACTGCAAACTTGAGCTTGCACTTGACATGTGGCCTTGGACAAGTCGTGCACCATCTTTGGTCTGAGCCTCAGCTTCTCTTTCACCTTGCTGTAGGGTGGGATGACACCAGAAATTTACACGTATGGTACTCCATAGTGGGGTTCACTAAGTGTAACTGCCACCGTTAATAGTGTTGCTCCGTGGTACTGACTCAGGGCCAGGTCCTGGAGTGGGGTAGGGTTTTGATCTTGGAGGGAAAAGAATTTGTGGTAAGAGGATGATGATGACAGAAGTCTGGCAGAAAATAGTCCTGTCTGGGGCTGGTTTCCATGCATGCAGAGCTGCATGAGTCTGCAGTTGGGCTCTACTCCAAGCCTAGCATACCTCATCTCACTGTAAATCCCTTACCTAGGCAGTGGGAATTAGCATTCCTGCATGGAGTTCCATGAGCTCCTGTGGTTTCGGAGTCCCCCTTCCTTTTCCATACAAGTTCAGAAAAGCCACAGGCCACTAGGATTCTTCTTGGCCAAAATATCAGGGTTGAGACTGAAGGCTGGTGATGAGGGTAGGAGCTTCCAGACACAGTCCTTTCACACCACACCTGCCGGCAGGGGCCCTCCTTGACTTCAGCTTGCTGAGCTTGCTTCAAATCAGCCAGCTCACTTACACAGTGAGCCAGCCTGCTGCGGGGCATCCAGCTGAAAAACCTGGAGACTCCTTTGGAGCAGTGGAGTGTTTTTCTGGGTCCTGAATATGGGATCAAGGTAGTATTTGACCCACTACTCTGAGCTGGCCTAAATGGTCTGCAGGGTCTCTTCCCAACAAGGTGGAATTTAACAGGGATCAATGTTTCATCTTGCCTTACAGTCTCAAAATCAACTGCCTAAGCTGGGATTAGGTCACAGCACAAGTAGAGAAAGGGCCTGGGACTTTCATTAGCTGTAGCCTCCGTGTGAGTCATTGCTGAAGCCATTTATTTAACCTCAAAAATCCAGTTGCTAAATGACTATCATGTGGCAAGAATACAGAGATGAACAAAAGGCAATTGCTGCCTGTGGGGAGCCTGTGGTTGACTGTGGATAGCCGACAAGTCAATGTCAAATTTGGTTGCATTAGTGAACATGTTATATCCC